CAAATAAAAAAAACACGAAAAGAAGAACGGTTACTGCTTTTTGCTTTTTGTATATCATTTTCATAGACCTCTTTTAATTCCTGATAATCTGATACATGAGTTATTAATTGCTTATCAAGATCTTCATTTACATGATTGCTACTTTCTTTTAATGCACGTTTGTATAAAATGCATTCATCATATACGTCTTTGGATGGTTTTCTTATTATTATTTTACAAAGCTTAGCATTATTTTTCCATAGTTGTCAAAAAATCCAACAGCTATTAATAAGGTTTTCTGGGTTTATTAAATTGTAAAGATCAAGAAGATGACTATAAGAATAATGAGATGGTAAAAGAATAACATCATCTTTTTCATAATTTACAGTTATTTGCTCATCTTTTTTTTTACATATATATTTTCGAACAGCCTGTTTTTCACCATGTTGGTCACTAAATGATTTAATAAAAAATCTAGCTTTATTAGCTGTTTCAATAAATAAGATATTTTTAGGCTGACGACCAGTATTACCATAAGGTTTGGGTAACATTAATTTACATTCTTGAATTCAACTAAATATACGTTAAATAACCTTTGGGCCACACATCCAAAATGTTCGAAAAAAATGGAGATATACATTACCAAAATGAGGAAGCTGATAACTTCTAATTTTATTTTCTTTTATATATAAATTAAAATTAGAAGCAGCAAGAAGTATTGACATCGAATAGTAACATTTTTTTTGCCCATAGTAATACTTTCTAATGTCAAAGATTCTAATAATGCTTTTTTATCACATTTTTTTTTGCATTTACAACACTGTTGGAGTTTCTTAACAAGATCATTTAAGGCCATTGAAAGAGATTTATTAGGATCTGTAGATGTGGTGTTCTCATCGCTTGTATTTTCTAATTCTTCATTAGAGTACAAATCCTTCTCTATTTTATCATGATTCGATTCTGAAGTAGTTTCATCATGAGTTTTCAAAAACTGATCTAAATTTTTTGGAAATTCCATTATGAATTATTATGAGCATAAAAAAATTATTGAGGTTTTTCTTAATTACAAATTTAATTAATTGCTTGTGTTCTGAAGAATTGGGTCTAAAGCA